CTCCTCCTCCCTCCAAATCAGTGCATCGAGTCCCTCCTCCCTTTGCCGTCTTCACCTTCACTCCCTTGTAAACGAACGGAATCACGGCCAACACGCAAAAACGGGCTCGCCGAACTACACCGAAGGCGTGGTAGTTGGTAATTAGGCCTGAGATCATTACGGTCATTTGGCTTAGGGGAGGGTAGAATGGGGGAGGGGGGGGGTGAGTGGTGAAGGGTCGACTGCTTTGCGTAGCGCGTAGTAGCAGCAGCTGAGATAGTAGGCGATTAGTCCTACGGGTGATAAAAGTAGGGCGTTTTCAATACATTGGTACGGCTGTGTTCCCTCTAGCCTTGCTGACGTCTCCGGTGTTCTTGATAGGCACACTCCAACTAGGCCTACGGAGGGGAGTTGGGACAAGCTCTCTCTTCTGCAACACGGTTTATAAAAGGCATTTAAACCCTCGTTCACTCTCCCCTTTACAGTAAGCCTAACTCTTTCAGCGACCTATGAAAAGGCTCACACAATTCTTCCTTGCCGTTTAACAAACATCCCTCACATCTCCTGGAACAGAGCAGTCCCTACGTCGACCCAGGATCAAAAATCTATGTAGGCCTATGTAAATGCGCAAAATCGCTTCGACGAAGAATATCATACCCAAGGTCTTGCAATAAGAAGTGAGCACACACAAAAAACCAACATGTGACTCCAGCTCGTACGCTAAAATTAAACTCCGTCGAGTGTCGACTTGACATGGACCTGTACCTAAGGAGCTACTGTATAACTCCGAGGCCCCAAATAAGTCTTTCAAATGGTTAATATTCCTGACACAACTCGCAGACGAGACTCACTAGCCCCAGCATCTACATATTCACGCCTTCGGACACTTTCGCCTGCTAGGTTTGCGAACGGAAAACAATATAGCTCGCACACGGCCTAAATGCAGAAGAAAGATCGAGTCCAAATATAAAATTCAGAGCCAAATAACCCCCCGAGCACAACCCTTTGAGCGTGGCTTGGTGGAATTGAATTGACATATATCAACCTTTGGCAATTGTCCTTCCATCAAAACCTCCAAGGCAGCTTATGACAGGCAGGCCATATGCCGCCGTCGGTGGCCTACGCATAGAGGTCATTCACACCTGAAACTCAATCACGCTTTGCGCCCCTTGGCCAACTATACAACCTCCTGACTTTACACATCCCCCTCCTTGAGCAACCCGCCGAATTTAGAAAGCCCTGCGTATTTTTAAAGGTGACGAAAAACCATTAGAGTACAATGAACGGACAAGTATAGAGTGTATAGTTTCCCCGATATCCAAGTTAGCGCTTAATCCTCGCGACTCTTCGTTGGCAACACTGCCCTCCCGACCCGTCCAGTGACTTACAACTCCCAACTCAGCCGGCGTGTCCGAAACCGCCGACGTGCGTCAGAAGTGTATCGCTGAATTTATCTAACAGATACAACGTGGCGCATTAATGACCCAAATCTAGCCATCTTCCTTTGAAAATTTGTTTCCCTATTACCATAGATGTGTTGCTATGCTTGTAGGATTTCCATCTTCAATTCCCTCTCTTCCCGGCGTTCGGACGAAGCAAGTCGGCGGCGGCGGACGACTAGAGTAAACGTAGTAGCAAAAGTTTGTCGGAACTAATTTTCACCACGAGTTCAACTTTGACTTCTACAGAAAAAGGTGACCACTGGAGAAAATGTCTAGAACGCCGTCGGCAAACACAAGATAGGAAGATCAATTCGGAAGCGAAATCAAAACAGAGCGCAAATTGAGTAATGACTCCGAGTAATAAGCCGCAAAAACGAAGCCAACGCCTGCCTAGCGACTCCACAGGTTTCAACCCGTTCGTTGCAACCCACAGTTCTGCAACGTGACCAACCCACACTTACCGTCGGTGCCGGTTAAGACTGACCCTTTTGTTGACTCTCAGTACTAAAGGCTGTTACATCATCGATCGGTCATAATTTGGCATTTCCATAATAGAATCTCTGTCTCTCTCCTCCCCCTCCCACCCCCACTCTCTTACTCCCCCTCCCACTCCCATCTCTCCCTTATCCCCTCCCTCCCTCTCCCTCTCTCTCTCTACCCCTTCCCCTCTCCCTCTCTCTCTCTCTCTCTCTCACTCTACCCCCTCCCTCCCCCCCTCTCTCTCACTCTACCGCCTCCCTCCCCCTCTCTCTCTCTCACTCTAGCCCCTCCCTCCCCCCCTCTCTCTCTCACTCTACCCCCTCCCTCCCCCTCTCTCTCTCTCTCTCTCACTCTTCCCTCTCCCCTCCCCCGTTCTCTCTCACCCCCTTTACTCTTCTCCTCACGCCCCACCACCCTCGTATATCACAATAAACTCAAAAAAGCTAAACAAACCAGATTCTCCGCAAAACTGAAATATAAATGGGAGAGAAAATACATTCATCTATATGACACCCACCATGAAATGAAGAAAAGAAAAAAAAAGACCATATGCACGAGTGCGCTCTACCACCCCCTCCCCCTCCCCCTCCCTAACAAATTCACTACCACTCTGGTGCTCTCGTTAGGTTGCCTGCCATCTGCCAGAGCCACAACACACACTATCTCGTAGTGTCCTCGACCACGCAGACCCAGCGTCTCTACAACCCCTTCAGCCCCAATGACAGGCAAAAGAGCGGGAAAACGAATCAGATTTGCATAAACAATAACAGCTTCATCGTTTTTTTTTCAAATTTGGTGATGGCTATCGCGGCCTATACGGTCGTGGAAGAAGGAGAAAGAAGGAGAGGATGATTGGGGGAAGAGGGAGGGACAGAAATGGTGTGCGGGGAGGGGGGGGTATGAGTGAGTGGGATCTAGAAAGAGGAGAGAGGGAGAGGGAGAGGGAGAGGGAGAGGGAGAGGGAGAGGGAGAGAGAGAGAGAGAGAGAGAGAGAGAGAGAGAGAGAGAGAGAGAGAGAGAGAGAGAGAGAGAGAGAGAGAGAGAGAGAGAGAGAGAGAGAGGGGGGGGGGGGGAGAAACAGACATACAGAGAGGCGTGAGGGCAGGGAAGGGAGATAAAAGAAAGCAGAGGCCAACAGCAGCCTCCAAGCGAGAGGATAGACAGGTCGCACGGTGGAGATTTAATTTTGAAAGGCGAGCGAGTAACGGCTGTCGGCCAGTTACCATGGTGATGTTTATCGGCCGCCACCACGCCACCGCCGCGACCTCTGCCTGTGCTGGTAATCGATATAGGGTCGATAAAAGCCCAGGGTCACGATGGGCCCATGGCTCTTGTGGGCTTTAAACCCCCCCTGTGCTTGGCATGGCGTGAGGGGAGGGGGGAGGGGGGAGGGGGGAGTAGGGTTACGGCGAGCATCTATCGCAGCCACTCTTTTCGAACTGAAATGAGACTTGCTTTTATATTACTCGTAGTATTCAATAGGCTGTCGTGTTTTTTTCCCCTCCCACAAACTGCATATGTGTAGACCGCCTGAATACGTTTAATCATGCTTTATCCCCAACAACTAGTCTAAATTGGAATAAATTAAAGTGGTTGCTTTAACTGATATGATATACGATATATAAAGCTAGTGTCCCAGTTAACGTGCAGGCCTTCTTGTAGCCAAAGACTGTCAACCTCATCAGCCAGGCTCTTCACCCCGGAATATATGCACTTCTTTTCTACGAAGCATCAATAAATCACGTGGACAAAAATGATCCCGAAAAAAAAGTTTGTGAGCGACCCACACCGCCCCTTCCTGTGGAGAGGAGCTTCTGTTCAACCGAAGCCTAACTATTCAAACGCTAATCAACTTTTCAGAGTCGGCAACAACTCGGCCGTCAACTGCAACCTCAACACACGGCCGTTCCTGCAACGGAGGGCGAGTGCAGCTGGTGCAATTGACGCGTGTTGCAGGGGCTGCCATCAACTCGCGTGTTTATTGGTCAGTTCCGCCTGCAACACGTGCGCCCATTGGTCAGTTCCGCGCCATGTGACCACCACGAGCTGACGTCACACGGGTGGTTGCTGATGCACTTCATACCATGACACGTTCGCAAGGAAATGTTCCAGAGCCTCTTAAATTCTATGGTGACACGTCTAACAGGGAGACAATTACGTAATATAAACATGATTCTAAGACATTTCTATATAGACCTGCGCAAGACAGCGAAAGCGCTGTGTTCAGCGTAGCTGTGTTACCACTGCTTCACTCAGTAAAATTAGGCGTATCTGAACATTACGAAAACCGACTTTATTCCAGCCGTCATCCTCATGCCCCGGTTAATGTACCTTGACCAAATAAAATACTACTGTTTTCATGTAGGCTGAAATGAAGATGATTCCCAACCAGGGGGGGTGCAACGGGAGCAGTGCAATATGGCACCCTTTGGCGTAGGGCGAAGGTGTCGTCGGGGTTAGACGCCGACCAGGATTGCCGCACCCATTGCCCTCGCAACATACAGCATCGCCGTCACATCATCCCGTCACCATCCCTGCACCCTGCACGCCTCCACCTCCGCAGGCACGTGGTGGTCATGGCATTGACAGCATGCAATTATGATAATTTTTAGATTATATGTCACACATCCCCTTCTCCTCCTCCTCCTCCTCCTCCTCCTCCTCCTCATATCAACAAATCCCCAAACAGGATAACCATACTAGGAAAACGGAAAATGTTCCATCCTTAGCCCACTCGTCTCCTCGCCTGAGAGGGGGCGTACCTACTTATCGGCGTACCCAGCTAGGTATTGCTCAGCACGCCCTTCTTAGATCTAGCAGAGCGCTAATGACATCATCAGTGAGAGGCACCCGGGCGAACAGGTGCTACTACCGCTCCAAACTTCCATAATTAGTATATCGTTACACCTCTCTCGTGGGTTAATGGACCAAAGGCAAAACAACTACAGTCACTCCCTGTCATGCACACCGATGATGCTACCCCATGATTAAATATAACATGCACAGCATCCATACCCAGAAATGCTCTACGACTTCATGAACACACAGATGCAGCACTACACGCCGCCAATGTTTGTAAACACGCCCTGGCATCCTCAC